TTTTCTCTAATCTGATTCGTCGGAGAGGCAACAACACAATATCACAAAAGCCTCGTTATGAAGAATCTACATCACCAAAAGTAGGCACATCACCAAAAGTTATCGGGAATACACTGTCACCACAATCGGATACAACTAAATGCCCAGATAAACAAGAAAAGCACATAAGTGATGATAAGCCAATAATACCAAATGAACAAATATTAGCGGATGAATCTGAAGATGCCAGGCAACATTCTGCTATGCGGCAATTATTGACACCAAAACCTATTGAAGGAAGAGAAAACTGGGGAATTCCACCAGAACCTGAAACAGAATGTGATCCAATACTGCAGGTATTTACATCAAACACGAGTTTATACCCTATTGACATTTTATATTAATTAATGGATGTAAATAATTTGCTTTGGAAGGAAAAAATCGATCATTTTCATTCATTAAGCAAAAAAGGAGTACATTTCAACGAAAACCTCTTAAAAAATAAAGCTTTTCGCAATCCACATATATATAATAAATTGGTTGAATTTGTGGAATTGGACGAAATTGGATCAAATTTTGATCGAGAGATATTTGATCCTTATGGATTTCCTTCAGAAGCATTTGCAGATCAACTCGGTAAATTCATGAACATGAACATTATATTTTCTTTTATTAGAACCCTCGATAATAGATCAGAATATGATATTATCTTATCTTTATTTCAAAGCGGAAGCTCAAAAGAAAATTTTGGAGGAACGTGCCGCAGCGCAGCAACAACAAAGGTCACAGATACAATTTGTAGGGTCTAGTCCTGGTAGCCAAAATATATCAAAATCTCGACACGTTATGCAAAGTCTTGCTGCTAGAGCAGAGAGAGGATCTACGACGGCTAATAATACAACGGTCATGAAATCAACAGTCGTTACAAATATTACTACTACTGCTAGTTCAAAATCAAGCAGTACAGGTTCTCCTATGTTTATTATATTTGTTCATATATATTATGTATTGACTATAATTTATTATAACTATAAATTCGTCATATACTTCGTTTTAAAAAATGGATAGGAAGAAAACGTGCTAGCAAATGGGATGTTCCCGCACCAAATGTAGCACCACCACCAT